TGATTGGAGGGCTGTGTCTTGTCCCGAAATCGCTCTCGTGTTGACGACTGCACCCGATCCTCCACGTCGACCTCAGGATACCACCACTGAGGTCGGCCTCGCCAGAACCACCCGAGCGACCGTCGCAGTCCTCTGCAGAACCCCGTCGCCCGGGCAACCTGGTTGACTGGGCAACCACCACGTCGTCCAGCTTCTCCTTGTGTTCGTCGACCACCCAGGCCGACGACCATCACTGGTCGACCACACCAAGTTGATCGCACACCCAGTCGACCAGCCCCAGGTCGACCACACCAAGTTGACCGTGCACCCACTGGACCAGCCCCAGGTCGACCTCACTCCTGGTCGACTAGCCCCAGGTCGACCAGCACACCTGTCAGCCGACAACCCAAGTCGGCTTCCCCAAGTCGACGTCACCAAGTCGACGCCCTCCACATATCGACCTCCCAAGTCGACCTCCCGAAGTCGGCGCCCATGCATTGGCCCCCGTGCAGATCGGCCAACCTCGTCGACCAGCTCTCTGACTGCTGTAGGCCGCTGCACCTCCCGCACACCCGACCACGAGGTCGGCTCCGCCCAAGCGAGAACGGGTCCAAAAACACCTCCCGTTGATATAGGTGAGGACTTACGGTTTTATGGCGAGGAACGCCAACAAAGAACATGGTTAAAAGTGCGCAACACCAACATGGTGAAAACATTAGATAATTTTTGTGGAGATTTCAGGTGTACGTACGACATCGATGTACAAATTTGGGGGAAGCAAGTGCAATAGAGCAAAGGGGGGGGATAAGGGTACTTTCATCCCCTCGACAAATGGTTCGGCGAGTCTCGACAAAACCGTGGAGTCGTCGACGTCATCTAACACTAATAATGTATTTGAAAACATCTACATGAGTCACATTTGATAAGATTACTTCTCCTACGACCATTGCCAACTCTCAATATTTGACCTTGCCACCAATAATATTCGTCAACAACTTTCGTAACACCCCCAATTGCACGGCCAGATGATTTTAGGACGTGATACATCCAACTCTACTTTCGACAAAACATTCCACTCGGCGATAATAGATTTCGCCACGTTGAATACTCCCAAACACTGCCATTTTTTTTGTGGCGACAAAAAGAACAACTCGAGTTCTTGATTTTTTTCGTCACGAATCATGGGGCATTTCATAGGGTTCGCCGTTGAAAGTTTTATGGGCGCGTCATACTTGGGTTTTTCCATCAACCTCACCGTTGATACGATTTCGCCAGCGCATCTGTGAGAGTACGACATCCGTTCTTCTCAATGGGAGTTGAGTGTTGGCCCCGTCCTCACTTAGGCGGAGACGACTCCGTAGTCGGGTGTGCGGGGAGCGCGCCGACCAGCTGCAATGGGAGACGCCAACTAGGGCTGCTACGGGGCCACTACCATGCCGCTGACGACGGGGAGCCAGCGGTCGACTTCAACCCAGTGGCCGACGAGGGGAGACGTCGATCTGGGAGGGGCGCCGACTCGGGAGAGCACCGACTTTAGGAGGTTAACTTGGGAGGTCGAGCTGGGAGGCGTCGACTTGGTCACGGTGACCCGGGAAAGCCGGCTGGGTGCAGTCGGTGACCAGCAGGCCTGGTCGACCAGAAGTGGTTGACCTGGGGGAGTGGCCAACTTCGTGAAGTCGGCAGAAGGTGGTCGTCGACTTGGACAGTCGACGGGAATGAGGAGCAACACTTGGTCGACTTGGTTGCCTGGTCGACCAAGTTACCCGGGCGACAGGAAACTGCGGAGGTGCGCGACAATCGCCCAAGTGGTTCTAGCGATGGCGACCTTGGGATGGTATCCTGAGGTTGACGTGGCTGGTCAGGCACCGTCAGAGGCACGTGGTCGACTTGTCGTGTGCGCTGAGCGGAGATAACTCGCACAATGGGAGCTAGTCTACGGGATAGGCACGGTTGAGAGGTTGATCTCTGTGTTCCTTAGTTGTTTGCTTGTGTATTCTCTACTTGCTCATTCACGCTCCCGCTCCTCCCTCTCCAACCTGTCAAAACGCTGCATACGGGTCAGGAAACGTACAGTGCACGGTGTAGGCGCCGCAGTGCCCGTGTCTCCGGCTCCAGCATCCCCAGAACCAGAACCTCCACCAACAACACCCTCAGGAACTCCAGTGCCTCTGGCAGGAACATCCCCAGGCTCCACAGCGACTGGCCGCGGAGGCGAACGAGGAGGGAACTGCGGAACAGACGGGAGCCAGGGGGTGAGGCGGGGCGAGGCCGCTGAGACGAGACAGCCGTGTCCTCCTCAGGAGTGGTCTCCACTCTCACACCCCCTGCACCCCCAGAGCCGGCACCACGGGCTCCAGCAGCCTCACCCTCACCCTCCGCAGCTGCACCTTTCGCACCTCTAGACACGACAGGAACAAGACGCTGCAGGGGAGATGACGGCGGTGTGACGTGCGACACACCGTGCGACAGGGGGGGACTACTAGGGCGACTGAGGGGGGGCTCAGTGGTGAGGAACAGTGGAGGGGAGAAGGTCTCAGAACCTCGGTGAGAGCGACTCCTGTTGTAACTGACCGACTCGTCGAAATTGACGTCTTGGGAACTGAAGAATTGGCAGGTAACCGGGTCGTAGAACTGCAAGCCGGAGGTGTCGAGTGGGAAGCCAAGAAAGACGCAGGCACGGGTGCGTGAAGACAACTTGTTCGCGCCAGGGGCGCGAACGTGGGCCAGGGAACCCCAGACGCGGTAGTCAGCTGCTATACGCGGAGAACCTGTCCAAAGGGAGACCGGCGCCACCTATGGCCGTGCGTCACTAGGCCACGGTCACTAGTTTCGGCGTCACCCCAAAACCGTGGTGTAGCGGGAGTAATCGTCCACCACGATCAGGAAGTAGCGCTTCTGACGTGGGCCACGGACCAGGGAGGGGCCCCAGACGTCCAAGTGCAGTGTCTGGAAGGGAGCCGTGGTGGGGGGGAACGATGAGGAGTGAGGGGCAGCACGCTGCCGACCCTCGACACAAGGAGTGCACGACGGCGCAGGCGAGCGAGGAAGCCGGGCAAGCGACTCTGGGAGACCGGAGACCAGACGGCGACGTACCATCCTACTGAGACGTAGGAACGACGGGTGACCTAGACGGTGGTGCCAAAGGACCGACAGGTGTGTGAGTGACCGACATGTCAGGATTCCAGCTACTAATCACTGGGATAAAATGGGTATTTGTGTAGCGGGTGAGTGCGCCATAACCCCCCAGGCCAACGTGCCTATAACCCTTCCCTAGGATCAATCAAGGATCTCAAATGGACCTTTGACACGCCCCCGCACTGGGATGCCCGAGGTGTACATACTGGGATTCGAACCCAAGACCTTTGTGCTGATACCATGTAAGGATCCTAGCCACTAACCACTGGGATAAAAAGGCTTGTTTGTGTAGCGGGTGAGTGCGCCCATAACCCTCCAGGCCAACGTGCCTATAACCCTTCCCAAGGATCAATCGGGGATATCCAGTGGACCTCTGACACGGTAGTCGCGCGACACACAACTACCTGACCTGACCTGACTTGACCTGTCCTGACCTAGTGTGGTAGGACCCAGCGTGTAAAGAGTACAGACCAGAGCCCGGCTCCCTGCGGAAAGTGGCCATAGGCACTCTAGTGGCATTGACTATGCAGGAGGCAACAGGCTCATCCAGAGGGAAAGTGGTAAAAACTTCGAGGTCGTGGAGGTGACTGACACCTACCAAGTTCCTAGAGAACGATGGGGTGTAGTAGCCTGTGAGAAACTCAGAGGGAGCTGCTGGACACGGGAGAATGGTAGTGCTGTGGGCAACTACAGATCCCAAGGCGACAGTGTCTGGAGTGTGCAGTGGCGTGACGTCGGTGCAGTCACGAAAGAAACAGCTGGACGCTCCAGAGTCTAGGGCGGTGACGTTGCACCTGATGCAGTGACAATGGCTAGTACTAGACTAGTAGTAGCAGCAGCTCCCACACTAAGAACCTCTGAGGCGCCTGGACTGGAAACTACACAAGCACCAAGACTGGAAACACAGGTCTCAACCTCAGCTGCGGCTCCCACGTACCGGTGTGTGTACTGGCCGAGTCTGACAGGGCCCTGCGGTGGAGGCTGCCACTGGCGCTGCTGCTGAACCCGCAGCTGCTACTGCTGCCGCGGTTGCCACTACTGGTGCTGCGGCCACAGGTGCTGCAGCCACGGCTGCTGCCACAGCCACGGTTGTTGCTGCGGCCACCGGTGCTACTGCCACTGCTGCTGCTGCGGCCACCGGTGTTGCTGCCACCGCTGATGCTGCGGCCACTGACGCCACATCGAAATGGCACAGTAGTACGGGGGTAGGGGCCAGTCGAGGCGGCAGTACCAGTGGTAGGTGACAGCGAGTGCGGTGGGGAGTGGTCTAGTGTAGTGGGAAGTAGTGTAAAGTCGGTCGGATGCGTTTGAGAGCGGTTTGGCGTGGGCTAGTGCGGAGGGGAGCGGTCAGGTGCGGTAGGGTACGGCCGGATGTGGTCTAGTGCGATGGGGAACAGTCTAGTGTGATGGGGAGTGGTCTAGTGCGGTGGGAGCGGTCGGGAAGAAGCATGGGCAGTTGGATGTGGTCTAGTGCAGTGAGGAGCAATCTTGTGTGGTGGGGAGTGGTCTAGTACGGTGGGGAGCGGTCTAGTGCGTGGAAGGCACAGGTAGAACCTGGCGAAGGCACGGGCGTCTGCTGCTGGTGTTGGCTGCCGCTGCATAAGTTAGCTGCTGTTGCTGGCGCTAGCTGCTGTTGCTGCCAGAGGCTGCTGTTGCTGGCGCTAGCGACTGCTGCTGGCGCTAGCTGCTGCTCGCACTGGCGTGGGGCGGTGTGCTGCAGCCGCTGCTGATCGTGCTAGCGCACGACGTCCGACGGGCGCGGGTGGCTAGGGCGAGGGTCGAGCGAGCTCGGGCGAGGGTGAGGCGGTGGGCGCGGCAATCTAGGGTTACAAGGACTAAGGCGACGGGCGCTACGGGTGACGGGCGGGCGACGGGTGACGCGCAACCTAGGTCCCGACAGGAGTGTCCGCGAGGGGGGGAGGGGGGGGGGCGCTACGGGATGTAGAGGGGCCTGCGGGGGCTGCGCTAAATCCGAACGGGAGCGCCCACGGGGGGGGGGGGAGAAGAGGGGGCGCACGCTACGGGACGGACGAAGGGGACGAACTAAGGCCCGTGGGCTGATGGGACATGCCAAGGGCGCTACGAGCAACGAGCCGCGAACGGACGGCGAACGGACGGCTGACGGGTAGCTAACGGGCGGCTACCGAGCAGTTAGCATGTGAAGCCTTAAAACGAGCGAGCCAACGGGTGGCGAGCGCGCTACGAGCGGCTATCGAGCAAAGAAGGAGCAAACCCAAGAGCCACAAGAGTCGTCCTCAGTGTGTCGTGCCACTCGCGAGGCGCCTGGCGGAGACCGTAGACTGGCCGCCGGAGGCTCCACTGGGTACCTGCAGAAAACGACCCAGTGAAGCCAGGTGGGCGGCGCAGCCAGATCTCCTCTTGCAGGCTGCCCTGTAGGAAAGCAGTGCTGAAGTCAAGAGAGTGAAGCTCGTAGTCACGCTGAGCAATATCCGGAGAGTGGTCATCTTCGAGGTAGGGGGAAAGGTCTGAAAGAAGTCGTTCTTAGGGATGACGATGCATGGGGATGACCATGGGCTGTTCGAAGGGCGAATGACTCGTTGCTTGAGCAAGGTTTGGACCTCCTCCTCGATTCTAGCGCGCTCGGAAGGTGAGACTCGGTATGGCTTGTGGGCTATCGGTTTGGTGTTCCCCGTGGCAATGTGGTGGCGGATGGTGGGATGGGTGCATATCGTCTCCTTCTCAGTGGAGAAGATGTCCCTATACTCCACCAAAAGCGTCCGCACCTCCTTCTGCTGCTGCTCCCCTAACTCGTGGTTCAAGGAAACAAACAGATCCTCAAACGCGGGGCATGCTACCCTAGGCGCCTCTTTTTTGAGGGTGTAGTAACTCCCTAGGATGATCCTCCCCTCGTCCCCACTCTCGGCTGCCACGTAGTTCCACTTCTCGGCTGCCGGGTAGTTATACATCTCGAAGAGATGGTCCGTACTAATCAGCTTCCTCCTCTTATCATAAACCAGCTCCCCCTCCTCCCATTTGTGGTTCCGATACTCCTCTCCGTCCACCATGGAATCTCCTTCCCACTTGGCCTCGTTCTCCTCTCCCACATACTTCTCCACCATCTCATCATACTTCTTGTCCCAACCAATCCCCGTGCCTATCGTATCCCAAGCCCCTATCTCATCCGCCGTTGGGCTCCCAAAGTTATACCTCCAAGTCTCCTCCTCCTCTCCTCCAACCTCCTTATCCTCCTTTTCCTCTGCTTCCTCCCCGTCTCCCTCCTCGGAATCCTCCTCACTTGATGCCTCCTCCTTACTCCCTTCCTCCTCTTGCTCCCTTAGCCATAGGTAATACTCATCCTCTTCCTCCGCATTCAACTCCAATCTCCCTTCCTCCTCTACTATGACTATCCTCCTCTCCTCCATCCACTTTAGGAAGTCCTGCTCCTCCATCCACACCTTGATGCGCTCCTCATCCTCCTCGTAGATGTTCCTGTGGATTGTGTGGGAGGGGAGGAGCACATAGGAGGGGCGGCCACCACCACCCAAGGGTCCCGTGGTTATGGGTACCGAGTCGGTCTCCGTGGTGTTAACTTGGTAAACTATCTTCCCCTTACTAGTCAAGATATCCGCGTAGGCCGAATAGATCCAGTCCTGCCCTAGGAGCATATCGTATGTGTTTGCTCCCGTCATTGCAATGTCCACCGGTAGAGTCAGCTTCCCTACCCTAACTGGTACGTCCGGCAAAACTCCCCACGGCTTCGAAGTCTCCCCGCTAGAGGTGTTGAATTCTATAGTGGTATCTTGGATGTACGGTTGGAGCCCGAGCTTTGTAGCTATCACGTGGGATAGGGCGGTTTGGGAGGCTCCTGAGTCAACTATGGCTGTCATCCGATTCTTCCCGAGGTACACGTCACACTGTGGGATCTGAAAAATTAGGTTACTAGCTCTAGGCGCCTCCTTCTCCTTCCCCTTAGCCTCCACCGGTGCGGCTGACATTACTTTTGCCACTCCTTGCATAGCGGCTGCCCCTTCCTCTATCTCCTCATTCCCCTTTTTCAATGCCTCCATCAGCTCCTTTCTCACCTTGTCACTGTCTTCGATGTAGTTCCACACACTCGCACTCACGGGTGTGAGCTTGAGTTGATCCACCACATTGTGGAGGTGGGGAGGGCCGAGCTTCTCGCCTTTCCCCTCACAAACCTTGACCCCCTTGCCTCCTCTCCTCTCCAACATCCGCTAACTTCTTCCTTAACTCCTCCCTTGCCTCATCGATCCCCCATCCTTCTGGATCCCTAATGGCTATCCGCTTCCTTTCCCCCACCAACATCTCCACTCCACCCTCTTCTCCATTCAAGAATTCCGCTATGGTCATGCTCGGCTTTGACTTCTCCATAATCTGCTGCATCACGTTCATGGCTGCCCTTCCCTTGTTAGGGCACTCCCTAGCCATGTGCCCCTCCTTCCCACACTGATAGCACTTAAATCCTCCTCCTCCAGCTCCTCCTCCCGGCCTAGGTAGGATACCTGCTCCCCTACCCTGCTGCATTTGAGTCAGCTGCATGGTCAACCTCTCCAACTGCTTCGTGATCTTATCCACATCCGACTCCCTCTTCTCCTCTACCTTCTTCTCCTCCTTTTCTTTCTCCTTTGGCTGCGCGTAGGTCACAAAGTACTTAGCGGCTTCCTCCGCGGCCTCCAATGATAACGGCCTCCCCCCCAACACTTTCTCCCTCAATCCCGGGTCCTCCAATCTCTCAATGAAAGCTCTCACCATCATGGCGACCGGGTAGTCTTTCACGTAGGAGGCCAATTGCCTCACCTCATCCGCCAACTCCGTCACCGTTTGCCCCTTTTTCTGCTTCAAAGTCGTCAGCTTATGCATCACGGTCGCCGTGGACTCCCAAACGAAGCGATCCTGAAACGCTTGCTCGAACCCCGCCACCATCGTGAAGTTCTTGCTTTCCGCCCAAATATAGGTAGAGTCGGTCAGATGCATGAGTAGGTAATCCAACTTTTGCTCTCGTGTTCGCGAGGAAGCACCTCATTGCCCTCGTGGCTTGGCTTAGCCACACCTTGGGGTCAGGAGAGCGTCCATCAAACCGCGGGAGCTCGCCCATAGCTGCAGCAATCGTCGACATGGTATTAGTAGAAGTACTCACAAGGTCCGTTTTCTCAGCCAAAGAGACCACAAAATCACTAACTTTTAAAACTTCCTGACCACTCTTCTTAAGCATCACCCGGATACGTATGACCTCTCTTACTCCACTTGTAGTACGAGACTCCCTTCTTGGATAGCACTTCCTTCCTCGTAGAGTTGCAGCCCTCTCCTCAGGCTCTTCTCCACTTGAAGAGATGCTCCTCCCAAGGTAGACTCCAAGGGTACTCCAAGGTAGCTTGAGTGGGCCAAGGTACAAGGTAGCTAGAAGGTTGAGAGAGCTTGTGGCATTGGTAAGAATGCACTATGAGAATATTATAAATTGCACACAACCTACAAGGACTTATATAGTTGAAGGGCATACCCAAACCACCATCCTTCTATCTTATTCATGCAATCCTAGGAATCCTTCCCTTATTAGTCGAAGATCCTAGCAATCCGGCCAACCAATGAGAGTGCTCCGTTGAGCTCACCCATATCTCCAAGGGAATCTCCACCAAAGAACCTTCCTTGTTGCCTTCCTCATTCCCTTTCCATGCTCCTTCCAAGCTCCTTAGCCAATAGATCATCTCATAGCTCCACCAAGGAAACTTCCAACAAGCCACCTTCCAAGGAACCTTCCACTTACTCTTATTCCCAAGGAAACTTCTTTATGACCAGCCCATCCTCCTTAGTGCAAATCCCAGCTACATGCATAATAATAAAGGGTAAACCTTAGTAAAATACCCTCTATAAGCACCAACCCTCTTATAAATAACCCGAGGGTAAACTCAAACCAATAGACCTTACCAAGATCAAGGGATTTATCTTTAGAAGTTTAGTGTTTATGTTCAGCACTACAATCACTCCTACCCCGTGCTTACCCCGTAGACAAGCTCCCGTTCTACGGGTTATCTCCGAAGGGAGCGGACTACGTTGTCGGGTGTAGCGATGGGCGACGGAGCTGGTCGCGGGTGACTGTTATGTGACGGCGACGAAGGAAGCGTCGGCGGTGTCCATGGCAACAGGACGGGCCGGCGGCGTCGGGCATTGAGTGCGCACGTTCGACGGCCAAGGTAAAGTTGTAGAGAGAGACACCAGCTCGCCCGAACCGCAGAAGTTTTATATTAAATTATCTAACTCTTAGCGACCTAAACCAAGAGATACAAAAGTATGTTTGAAGAATGGAATCCCAGGCTCGTGCATGAAATATTGAGTGCTACGCCTTTCGAAGGTGGTGGCTCGGAATGAGTAGCAGGGTATAGGGACGCGAATGAAGAGATGCGGTCGAACTCTACGGTTTGAAAAGATTAACCTGATGAATCAAACACGAACAGGTGTGAAATGAGTCGAGTTTCAGGAGGAAGCAAAATGGTGGAAGGTGTGAGGAAGATGTTTTTTGTGGATGTTGTCGTCTCTTCTCGCACGGAGGGGGCAAGCAAGCCCAGACCTGGTCGGGGTAAAGTTTGCAGAGTGTTTAGTTTACTGATGTCAGAAGTGGCATGGTGGAATTATATCTGCCACACTGCAATGAATTTTGGCTGATCATATAATTAGTCAACCTACAACGACAATGCTACGTACCAGAATAGATACGGACTTCAAGGCGAGCCATCTAACGGTGCTACAATATCATAGAAGCCCCTAGACAGTGGAAGAGAGAAATATTGGAGATGGTTGGTCGATGACAGACCCCAAAACCGAAAGCTCATTCGACGGAAATCGGGAAACCTTTCCCGCACCCGTGGAACGACCACGTTTACGGCAACAAGAGCTGTATGTTCACGTGCGATGAGTGATGCACGTTTTGACAAATAAATAGAATGGCGCACATTTGATTACAGATTAATACGGAGAGAATAGTCGAGGGGGCAGGGTGCGTCATGTATCAAACTTTGACAAAGGGGTGTGCTAAATACTGGAGACTGCAATGAAAGGGTTGGTTTAATTCCATGACTTGTACGCACTGGATGGTTTGACTAGCGAATCCACTACACTCCAAAAGACAGGCTAACCAAGGTATAACGCCCTATTCTCCAGAGGCCCGGCCCGAGCTCTGATGGCTGAATTGACGCGCGCGGCAGCAGAGGCCTTGCGGTTGGGTGCCAGTTTCGATAAGGAACGCGTTGTGTTCCTGCGGTTTGTACATCTACAATACATAAATTATTTCGGAACCGCTAGTAACGCTTTTAAACGTTCCCCACCCTTCACTCTGTTGCCTGAAGTCGTGTGCAAGCTTGGTCAGAGCTTTGGTAACGCGACATGCTGACACACGCATAGATTCTCTGCCCTCTTGCCCGAATATTGTTCGAGCAACTGCATCTCGGCGGCTACGAAGGCGTGCTCGGTCAACCGGCACTTTACTCGCGTAGCAGAAGTGTCGTCGTTGGCAATTACTACCTCCTATGCCACATTCAATACCGACCATTGTCATCTCCAACCAGCTCGGCATGATCAACCCATCCATTCCAACCTGCTGCATAGCCCTTCACGCCGCTGCCAAAACCAGCCGGATCCCCACAGCTCTCCTACTTCCTCACCATGCGCCCCAGAGGCCCGCGCCCACGCCCTGGTGGTCCACGCACGTGCCCCTCGCCCACGCCCGGGCCCCGGCGACCCGCGCCAGCAACCTGGCGGCCCGCGCCCCTCACCTGCACCCCTTGCCCGCGCCCCCGCCTCGCGCCCTTGCCCCGCTCCCCCGACCCGCGCCCCCGCCCCGGCGGCCCGCGCCCGCGCCCCGGCGGCCCGCGCCCCCGCCCCGGCGGACTTCAGAGACGAGAGTTGGCTGAAGTAGTTTGGAAGATATTTCAGGGCGACAGCTCCCCAAAATCTGCCGGCAAGACAGCAAGCGGGCAACCTCAGATTTCAGGTTGTGCAAGCTGCACAACGAAGTGAATCTGGAAGCAATTTGGCTGATCTTGTATCGATCCACGTGGAAGGATTCCAGAGACGACAACTGGGTCAAAGAGTCGAGAGGATCTGAGAGTTGCAGGCCCGCCCACCAGTGTCAATTCTTTTTGGGCGGGCCGCTCCCCAAAATCCGATGGCATGACGGTCAGCAATCGTTTTTTTCTCTTTTTTTTTTTTCAGGCTGTGCAAGCTGCCCAGGGAAGTGAATCCGAAAGGCGGCTGCCGGATCTTGCATTGAACCGCATGTAGGGACTCTAGAAACGAGAGCTGGTTGAAAGAGTCCGAACTGAAAATGGAAAGTCTTCCAACTCTCCAAAATTCCTACAAGACGAGCAACTCTCCGAAATTTGTTAGCAAGACAACAAGTTGGCACCCACAGATCCTAAGGCCATGCAAGGTGCTGGGGGATGCGAATTCGTCTGTCACATTGGTTAATACGTTGCAGCAAGTGAGGCGCATCTCTTCAAGCGATGGCAACAAGCCTGAGATGCCGCCAGGAATACGCTTGAGAGCACTGGAGTCTGCACTAGAGAGATTGGAGGGATGCTAAGAGCACGACCGAGGAGGAAGATTTGTTGATTTTGAAGCAAATATCAACTAAGAGGTTGTCTACACCCAATGATGAGCGTTGAGAGGTTAGAGAGATGCGACAGCAGTGGATCCAAGAGCACCGGGGCGTCGGTAAAAAATAGAGAGCGCAGATTCACGTACTGAAAGAACAACGACGGTGGCATTTTGCCATGTTTTAAGCGGTGGAGGGTTAGCTGCTCTAGCTGCGGGCAGCCATGTAGAAAGCGGTCCAGCCCACGCGTAGTCACCAAGAACCTATCTTTCCACTCATCGCGTTTTCAAAAGTGCATGGTCTCTCTGGTGCTAGGTGCACCACTTTCAGTTTGCCCATCACGAGTTAATGTGAACCAAGAAGTCGTCGGTGAGGTTCTCTACGCTCTCAGTGGAGAGATGCAGATATTATCATTTTTAAACACACATAGTGTTTTTTAAAATTGTGTATTGTGAAAGCGAAGTTGCTCGTACTACACAATTGGCATCGTCGAAGCGCGCTAAACGCTCTTCTCCAACTACAAAAACTGTGGGTTGGAGTTCATTTTCCTCCACCCACGTTTCTCTATTTTCAAACGGCTCACTCAACATTTCCGCTCACGCAGTTTATCCCTCCGCTCAACAAGCTGGCTAGAACAAAATCGCTTTCTAGAGGCGAGTCACCCTCGACTTTACTGGGCGACATTTTTAACTTTAATCACTCAATGATAGCACCGACGCCGACACTTAACAACGGGAACTCGTCCAACCCCGCTTCCGACTCTGACCGTAACACCTGCGATTTGGCGGACAAACGCCGTAACAAGCGACGGGCAGAAGATGGACCGCCCGCCCCGACTGCTGTGGACGTGCTGCTGGGCGGGCTTGAGGTCAACAAATTGGCCGACGCCCAGCAGCACCCTTCGGCGCCTGTGGCGCCAGTGGCACCTGCGGTGCAAGTGGCGACGGCTGCTGGCGCGACACACGCAACTGGCACCGAGCACACGCCATCAACCGCGGCTGGACCGTCGCGTTAGCGCCAGAGGAGGCGGACAGCGGTCTCCTCGTCTGACGCGACGACCGCCCCTGCGTTGATGCAGGCGTTGACCCCGGACCAGGTCAACGCGCTGCTGTCCCTTCTACAGCAGCAGCCCGTCAGCGTTACAGCAGCGGAAATTGCACTACCCGCTGCATCTGCGTCGGCTAAAAAAGAAAATACGAGAAGGGAAAAAGGCACGCGAGGAGCAAGGACGAATCGGCACGACAACGACACCGACGACTCTGAAGATGAATCCAGTGAGGCTCCAATCAACAATGTTAATTTTATTGGCACGGAACACCTTCCCCCCCTCCCTTCTTCTAACCTCACATTTTCGGCGGCGACATTCGTCAATGACTCCGTGCAAGAGCAAGCGGAGCTGCTGGAGGACTTGCGCGCGTACCTGCTACGCGCGGAATACAAGGCGCAGCGAGGGGACCCGGCGGGCAAACTCGAACTCATCTCACACGCTCTCAACCTCATCTCGGGGCGGATCGAGGTGCTTCAAGTGGAGGACGCCTCCGACTTCAGCACGGCGAAGCGCTTCAAGTTGTACCAGCAGAAGAGCCTGCTGACTTCTCGACCCTTTGAGCAGGCGGTTGCGGACATGGCGGCGATGGACCGTGCAGCAAGCGGATATGCTCGTGTCAACCGCGGCGGAAACAAGCCGATGCCGTTCTTACCCAAGCGGGCCCCCCCGCCCACGGCCAATTGCCGTGGGTTTCGGGGCTCGTGCTTTCGATGCGGCTAGCCGGGCCACGTGGCAAGTGCCTGCCCTAGGAACGGGCATGGCGTGAGGGGACGGCAAGTGCACGAGGCGCAACAAGAGCTACTATAGCATCGGCATACACAAATGGCGAGGGGGGACTATAACTAAAGGGGCGGTAATGGGGCAACAGGAGAATGCAAACGGGGAAGAAGCCCCGGCGGATACTAGATCTGATCCACGTCAAGAACTGCAAGGAGCCCAGTCCGAGAGCGGTGAAGCTCCCGCACCACCGCCGCGCTTGCGCCGATCACTTCGTCTCTAGTGCCAGCACGCAGGACCCGCTTCAACCCACGGACAGCCGTACCAAGCTGCCGAACGCCCGCAATTATACCCCGTGGGGGCGCAGCCAGCACGGGCGCCAGGAGCTCGGCAAGCCGATCCGCTGCATTGAGGCACTCGTCCCGAGGGCATCCATCTAGGGAATTCCCCTGGAACAGAGAGGCATGACCGTATACCCGGATCAGGTGAACGGCACGAAAGCCCTCATAGAGACGCCAGGCTCGCTTCCGGGACCTCAGCCGTGCGAGGAGGCCCAGGCAAGGTTGAGAGGATCGGTGCATCAGACGGGGGAGCAGGATCAGCAGGCAGCAGAGGCGGGTACTGTGCCGTCACCGCTCCTCCTGCCGCAGTCACAAATTCCAGTCCCGCCACTTGAGGAACCCATGGTAGCCGCAAGCGACGATCGCGTGCGGCAGCAGATGCGGCAGGGACGGGGTGAGCTGGAGCAGGGGCAAGAGGAGTTGGAGCAACAGCCTGACGTGGTGGAGCCGCAGCCACAGGAGAAACGGCCGGAGAAGGAGCCGCCGGAGCGGGAGCAAGGTGCTGCAGTGCCCTCTCCTCACGTATCGCTGCCAAGACAACATGCTGCACGTCAGCAAGGGAGATCGGCTGAACATACGCCGCGCCGCTGCCATAACCGCGGCCTCCCGACCACCCCCTACGACCGCCAGGTTGCGCATGCCAGTTCGCCTGCGAACAGTTACGCCGTGGAGAATCACGACGGCGTCGCGACGACTCCCGCTCCTCACGAGGCGCAGGAGAACGCGGGCGAGAGGAGCATTGGCCCAGCTGCTGACCAGCAGGTGCAGCAACAGGAGCCGCCTGGACGGCCCCCGCGGGCGCCACAATCGGGCCCTGGTCGCCAGTGGTGGCGGACACTGCCATCGGCGACGAACCAACAGCCGCGTCGGGTGCAACAGGGACAACAACGGTGGGGAGTGCCGCAAGAAATTCAGGCACGGGCGGCGCAACAACAGGATCGGCAATGGCAGGCGGCGCCGCAGGATTTGCAGGGACAGCTGGCGGGACCCGCGACATGAGCAGGAGGGCCCGGCTCAGCAACAAGGGCAGACGCGACAGGCAGGAGAGATGCCGGAGCCTCACTCGACACGAGGTCCGGAGTCGGACTCGCAGAGACACCAGCGGCAGAGGGCGCTGGATTCGGGGCAGGGGGGACTGGCGGCTTCATTGCAGCACTCCCCGAGGCAGACACCGGCGGTGACCTTCCGCTCACCGCTGACGCAGCGGCATCGGGCTTTGGCGATGGCCACGAGTTGCCAGCAATCACCATCGCGAGGCGGGAGGAGACAAGGGGCATTACGCCGCGAAGGACGGGGAGTTGAGGGTGGACCGGAGAACGCGTTCAAGGTGGCGGGACGAAGGGCTTTAACACAGCTCAATGAGAATACTGATCCGGAAGAGCAGAATGACCCCTCTTATAGGGAGGAGGCACAAGCGCCGAGCAACATCAGCGAGGAGGAAGACGAGGAGGAGAGAGAGCAATTGACAAGACGAAGTGGAAGAAGCTAGAGAGGAACAACAGTGCAACCAGGAAACACACGGGGGCCGCAGGATGCCGATCGGACGGCCACAATTCCAACCCCGCCGTCTACTCGTGCTACGGGCCGCGGTCTGTCAGAGGTCCACTGGTGATCCCCGGTTGATCCTAGGGAAGGGTTACAGGCATGTTGGCCTGGGGGTTATGGGCGCACTGACCCGCTACTTAACAAGCCCTTTTATCCCAATGGTCTAGTGGTTGGGATTCTGACATGGTATCAGAGCGAAGGTCTCGGGTTCGAATCCCAGTGTGTGCACTTCGGGCATCCCAGTGCGGGGGGGTGTCAGAGGTCCACTGGTGATCCCCGATTGATCCTAGGGAAGGGTTACAGGCATGTTGGCCTGGGGGGTTATGGGCGCACTGACCCGCTACTTAACAAGCCCTTTTATCCCAATGGTCTAGTGGTTGGGATTCTGACACGTTCGTGGCAATCGGACCGCGAGAGGGCAGGCGATTGCGGTTCGCCAGCCTCAATCTTCCCGCTACTTTTTGCCAGAGGAGCTGGCAAGACAGGCTGACAAATTTGTCGAAGTGGCAGAATGGGACATTTCACCACTCTGCGATAGTCGCCAACCCACGCTGCTACGACGGCTACCGCCAAATTTGTGCGAGATTTTCTCACTCGCGGTACCGACACCCCTTCTACACCTCTCGCGAAGCCCTGACTCCATCGCGAGATGGAAGTTACTCCTATTTCTCCCTCGCCTTACATTGCGACGAGCTTCGCCGAGACGCCCTGATTGGCCCAAAATTAATGCCCGCCTACGAGCATTTCAACGCGGCAAGTGGCAACAGCTATACTTGGACGCGGTGGAAGCAGTCAATACACCACCCTTGCCACTTCACAAGCCAGACAACATGGGAACCATCAGCAGAGCAGAGGGCCTGGCAAAAAACTGGAGCTTGCGCCGAGCCGTGATGGCGCTCGAGTCAACGCCAGTGTGTACACCCAGTCCAGAGATCCTGGACGAACTCCGACGCAAGCACCCACCTGCCGACCCTGACCCTTTAAACTGGCCAGTCAACACAGACCCTGCCAACCTCGAAATTGCATACGCAGATTTTTCGAAGCTACTCAGCCGATGCGAGAATGACGTGGGGGCCAGTCCGAGTGGAATGACATTTGAACACTTACGCGATGCGTCAGTAACAAACGCATCCGTCTCCACCCATCTGCATGACTTGGTTAATACGATACTGAAAGGAAATATGCCGCATCCAGACACGGAATTACTCACATCCTCCCGCCAGATTGCCTTGGCCAAACCTGAAGGGGGGGCTCGGCCAATATCAATTGGCGAATGTCTGACACGCCTAGTGGCAAAAGCCACTCAGACAACCCTGGGTGAAGCGGTGCGCTGCTATTTTCTTCCGCTGCAGTACGGAGTAGCACTGACAGGGCGGGGAGAGGCAATTATACACAGTGCACCTGCATACACCGACAGTCACCCCAACTGCCTCATCCTGCAAACTGACATCTCCAACGCCTTCAACAACATCTGACGAGAAGCCATAGTGACAGCGCTACAGGAACCCGGCCTATCACCACTTCTGCCCAAAGTGAAGCTAACCTATGTAAACCATCCCTACTGTTTTTAGATGCCAACTTCAACAGCCGACCAATATTTAGCAAACGTGGGGTCCGGCAGACAGATCCCTTAGGCCCGCTTCTTTTCGCAGCTGGGATTCATCCTGCCTTGAGAACAACAGCAACATTGCACCCCAGCGTGCTGTGCCTAGCATACGCCGATGACGTAAGCTTCTTAGGTGACCCACGTGAAGCCGTCGCAGCTTTCTCTCATTTCACTAGCCAGCTGGCGCAAGTGGGTTTGCGACACAGCCCTAGGAAATGTACCGCGTGGAGCAGTAGGTCGATAGACAGTACAGTGCAGCTGCCGCCAGGGGTACCGACAAGTGAAGCGGGCGTTAAACTTCTCAGCAGCTTTCTAGGTACACCCGAAAGCGCCGCCGCCTTCCTAGTCGCCCAGCTACAAGCCATGACCAAGCAGCTGCCTTTGATCGAACGACTAGACCCACAAATAGCATCTCTGCTGCTCACACGTTGCATCTCCCTCCACGTAGGATACCTCACAAGAACAACCCCAGTGCACCTCCTCAGCCACGACACCTGGTCACTGTGGGGTAGAGACCTCCTGGCCACACTCCTCACAGCATGTGGCATCCGTTTCCCGATAGGCAGCACAGAACAGAACCGGGTTGGGGAGCAGTCTTCACTTCCACCGCCGCTAGGAGGTATTGGACTCACTGACCCTACTGTGGAAGGACGGTTCGGCTACTTGCCTAGTTTCACACAGTCTAGCCTCTTCCTCAGCTCTTTACCGCTAGAAACAGAGGAGGCCCTGATAGTAGTTCGAGATCACATGCTCCTGCCTTGAGACACCACAACCGCCCTACATTACTGGCTGTCGAAATGTGAGACGTCGCTGCCACAGGAGGCCAGAGACATACTCGACAAGGAAAGGCTAGAGCCGAAGGGGTTGAAACTGCAGCACGAGCTTGGGGAGAGTGCAGGGGAGCAGATACGCCACGCAAGTGCAGGCTACACAGCACATGAGTCTCAACCCACTGTCAGGGCACACGCAACGGTTTTTTTCCCTGACAGGCTATGGCACAGGAGACTGGCTAACCGCTATCCCGATAGAACCAACCCACCGTGTAGGCCCACCACACTTCGCAAATGCAGTCCGCTTTAGGCTAGGCCTCCCCTTCTCTACACCCGCGAAATGCGACTGCTCTAAACACGCAGAAATCACTGACCCACGGCTGCCGAACCACCTTTTCCACTGCGGGACGGGCAAGCACAGAATCAATACTCACAATGAACTCCGTGACGCTTGCATCTCGATGGCAGAGGACGCCAGCTTCATAGTCCACAGAGAATCTGCAGCCTACTGCCCAGTTGAAGAGCAAACAGCAGACCTGACATGTGTGATAGGAGTTCGGGCGCGGTGTACATATGTGATGTCACCATCACAGATCCGATCAGCACCAGAAAACCCACATACCATCAAGAGGAGGGGATGGGCGGCCAGGGAACAGGCTGACAAGAAGATCAGCCTTTATGTCAGCCACCCTGACACTGTTGCCTTTTTCCCCTTGGCAGTTGAGACATATGGGTGCCCGTGTGCCGAGGTTCCACAATTTCCGAAGCTCTTGGCGGAAACAGCTGCTAGGCGACACTTCAACTCCCAACCACACTCATTCCATGCAGCCAGGTTCCTTCATCTCTTCAGGCAGCGGTGGTCCTGTGCTTTGCAAAGAGCGCACTCAGTAGGTTACCTTATTAAGTCAAGTCAGGCGACAGTAGCGGAAAATCCCACGTGGGGGGGGGGGGTGCAAGGCGACTTTCACCTTGGGGACAGTTGTGCAGTACTAGAGCCTCTCATGGAAGTGTAGATAGGCAATTGTGGGCAGATAGGTAGTTCCTTGCGTGCTTGTTCCCAACTCTAAGCATCTATACCTTGCATGCTTGTATCCCATTGATATATCAATACGGACCATTAGAAAGAGAGAGAGAGACCTACGCGGGCGGACTTCGCGGGGTTCTTCCCCTTAGCAGTAGAGACCTACGGCTGCCCCTGCGAGGAAGTACCGACCTTCCTCAAGCTCCTAGCTGACACGGCAGCGAGGAAGCTCTTTAATGCGGACCCCTCTACCTACCAGGCCGCTAAGATGCTTCATCAATTCTGCCAGCGTTGGTCGGTGGCCCTGCAAAGAGCACAAGCAGTTAGCTTCCTCATGAAGCTGAACCTTGCAGCACAGGCAGAAAACCCCCCCTTAGGAGGGCCTGAGGGGGAGCTGAACCTGGGGGACTGCTTGCAACACTTGAGCCCCCGCACGGGGGCTGCTAGGGGGCGTGGGTAGTCACTCATGTGTTTGTTTCTGCTTTGTGATAACTTTACACGTTGTACTGCATGTTATACGGGGGCAAGAGGAGCCGGGCCACCCGCCCTCACCGCTCCACCTCCCACAGCCACAAATTCTACTCCTGCCACGGGCGGGACGGGCGGCAGATGCAACCGTGACCCAGGAACGGGAGCGGATGCAGCAACAGCGGGAGGTGATGGGGCCGGAACATGAGATTGGACTGGTGCAGCAGGGAGCGGAACCTCAGGAAGCGCCGCCTGACGCCGAGCTGGATAGGCGGCGGCAACGTGTGAGCTGCCTTGGGTCTGAGCAGCCCTCTCCTCACGCATCGCGGTCGTTACCGCCCTTTGCAGATCCGCCATCCTCACGGGCGGATCGTACGCTCCTCCGCCACCGCGACCGCGAGGACCCCACCAGCCATCGCGACCGCGCTTGTCACTGACCCGACTGTTGATTGCGCCAGGGAGAATTGCGCCGGCGCCGGGAGGACGCCCGATCCTGTTGGGGTGCTGGAGAATGGGGGCGAGATAGGCGACGGTCCGGCGAGGGAGGACGAGACTGCGACGCCGGCTGCTGAGCCACGGGCGGCGCAACAGGGGCAGCCGGGTCCACTGCAGGGGGCACAATCAACTGTGCCGGGCCGCCAGTGGTGGCGGACGCCGCCTGCGGGGACGAGGCAGGCGCAGAAGTCTGCGGCTCGTGGCCGGCAGCAGGTGGCCCAACGGGAGCGGGAGCCGGGAGTGCGGCGTCAGACTTTGTCGGGGCTTCAAGTGGAGCTTGGGGAGCAGTTGGCGCAGACGGGGCGGACTGCTCAGCAGCAGCGGGGGCCGCAGACTGAGCGGCAGCTGCAGCAAGGGGAGCCGCGGGTTCGGGGCGAGGAGGCTTTTCAGCGGATGTTGTCGAGGGCTTCGGAGCCGGAGGCACCGGGGGCTTCGTCGCCGTGGTCGCCTTTCCGGGCTCAGACTGAGGCTTGGCGACCACTGCCGACCAGGCGGCAACGCGCTCTGGCGACGGCTCGGGAGCTCCAGCAATCACCATCGCGAGGTCGGGAAGCACGGGAAGAGAGGAGGCAGGCGGTTAGCGGAACAGGTGGAGGGCCGGAGAACGGGTTTCAGGCTGCGGGACGACGGGCTTTAATAGCTCTAGTAGCTGCCAATGAAGAAGGGGAGAGAAATGACCCCACTTATATCGCGGAAGTGGAGCCGGAGAGTGAAAATGAAGATGAAGGGGATGGAGCAGAGGCAACGAGGGTAGGGACGGAGAGGAGAAGACCTGGGGCAGCCAATTTACCCACAGCGGAAACAGAGGGGCGTACAGGGCCATTGGATGCTGATCGAACGGATGGGAATCCAACTCGGCAGCAATCAACGAGATCGAGTCGTGCACGCAGACATCGGACTGCATCCCTCCACCCTGTGTCAGGAGCGACCTCGCAGCTCCCCCGCTATTTATCCCCAGAGGAGCTGGCGGAGATGGGGGACAAATTCGCTGACATCGCGAATTGGGACATTTCCGCCCTCTGCGACAGTCGCCAACCGCCACTGTCGAGACGTTTACCGCCAAATCTGTGCCAGCTATTTTCGCTGGCACTCCTGACCCCGCTACACCATCTCTCGCGAAACCCTGATTCCGAAGCGGGTTGGAGACTGCTTCTTTTCCTCCCGCGTCTGACCCTTCGCCAGGCTTCGCCAAAACACCCAAATTGGCCACAAATCAAGGCCCGTCTTCGGGCTTTCCAGCGTGGCGAGTGGTCGCAGCTCTACCAGGACGCGGTAAATGCGGTCAACGCCCCTCCGCCCCCACGCCACCGACCCGATGTGACAGGTGTACTGAGCAGAGCCGAGGGGTTGGCGAAACATGGCAGTCTGCGCCGAGCCGTGCTGGCGCTCGAGTCAACACCCGTCTGTACACCGAGTCCAGAAATCCTGGACGAACTTCGCCAAAAGCATCCACCAGCAGGGGATGAGCCGCTGACCTGGCAAGCAGCCGACACTCGGCCCCTGGGCATTTCCCACGCAGAATTTGCGAAGCTCCTCGGGCGATGCGAGAATGGTGTCGGTGCAGGACCTTCGGGTACAACATTTGAGCACCTGCGCGATGCTGCAATAACCAATGCATCCGTCAGCACCCATCTGCACGCCTTGGTTAATACAATTCTGGGGGGAAATCTCCCAGACTTGGTGGCGGACCTGCTCACAGCGTCTCGACTCATAGCCCTGGCCAAACCTGGGGGCGGGGCCCGACCAATCGCAATAGGCGAATGCCTGACGCGGCTGGCTGCCAAGGCTGCGCTCTTGGTCATGGGGGATGCTGCACGTGAATACTTCTTACCCCTACAGTACGGCGTGGCAGTGCCAGGTGGAGCAGAAGCAATAATTCATGCCGCCTGAACGTACGTGGATGGCCACCCAAACAGCCTGGTACTGCAAGCCAACATCGCGAATGCTTTCAACATCATTTCGCGACAGGCTATCGCCGTTGCGTTACAAGAACCCAGCCTTTCGCCACTGCTACCGCTGGTCAAACTGACTTACGGTAACCCGTCGCAGCTGCATCTGGATGCAAACTTTACGAGTGACCCCTTGCAAAGTGAACGAGGCGTTCGCCAGGGTGATCCACTGGGCCCTCTCCTTTTCGCGGCGGGGATTCACCCCACACTTCGCGACACTGCAGCAGCGCACCCTGATGTGCTTTGTTTGGCGTATGCGGACGACGTGACCTTCGTGGGGGAAAAACGTGCAACTGTAGCTGCCTTCACCCACTTCACCTCGAAGCTGGAATTCCTGGGCCTGAAGCACAACCCGCAGGAGTGCACGGCATGGAGCGCATGCACGTGCGACTCAACTGAGCTGCCGCCAGAAGTCCCTTTCTGCAAGGACGGCGTTCGGCTGTTGGGAAGTTTTATTGGTGCAGTAGACGGGGCATCTGCTTTCCTGGCTGGGCAATTGGGGGAGATGGCGCAGCCCTTGCCACTCATCGAGCGGGCAGATCCGCAGGTCGCTTCGCTGCTGATTACGCGTTGCATCTCCCGGCGCGTGGCGTACCTCACACGGACGACCCCCCTCAATCTCGTCTCCCGGGACACTTGGACGCAGTGGGGCCGCGATCTCTTGATGACATTGCTTACCTCGTGCAATATCCGAGCTCCAGCGGGTAGAGCAGAACAGTCGCGCGTGTGGGCTCAGGCGACCCTTCCTCCGTCTCTTGGGGGTGTTGGGATCACAGACCCTCTCATCGAGGGCGTATACGGATTCGTTGCAAGTTTCACGCAGGCGGCGCTGCTCTTCTCCACGCTCGCTCTACCCCCGGATTCTGCCCTGTCGCGCGCATGCGGCCATATGCTCCTGCCGAGAGACGAGAGCACTCCACTCCACTCCTGGCTCACTGAGTGCGAGACCACCCTGCCTTCAGACGCGCGTGAGCTGTTGGAACAAGAGCGACTGAAACGGACGGATGTGAAGCTGCAGCACGCCCTCGCCCTCCAAGTCCACGGCAGTCGCTACGCGGTGCAGGTTCAGGAGACGAGGAAGATGCCGCTGAATCCGCTTGCAGGCCACACGTAGCGGATGTTTTCCTTGACGGGATACGGCACTGGGGATTGGTTGACGGCGATACCAATAGCCCCGAACAGGCGCATTTGACCGGTCCACTTCGCCAACGCCGTCAGATTCCGGCTCGGCTTGCCCTTCTCCACTCCCAAAAACTGTGACTGCGCGGACCACACAGCGATCACCGACCCCCGCCTCCCAAATCACCTCCTACGCTGTGGCACCGGCAAGCACCGCATCAACACTCACAACGAGCTCCGTGATGCTTGCATCAGCATGGCCCAGGATGCGGGATTCATAGTCCACAGTGAGTCGGCGGCCCATTGTCCCATCGAGGAGCAGACGGCCGACTTCACCATGACCGACAGGAGCAGCGGGGCGGTATGGGTGTGTGATGTGACTGTGACTGACCCTATCAGCACGCGGGACCCGGAGGCGCAGAAAGGAAGGGGATGGGCGGCCAGAGAGCAGGCAGACAAAAAGATCCAGCACTATGCAAGTAGACCTGAGACGGTTGGCTTCTTAGCGTTGGTGGTGGAGACCTATGGCTGCCCTTGTGCAGAGGTCCCCGTCTTCCTGAAACTCCTGGCAGACACGGCGGCTCGGCGCCACTTCAACGCCGATTCTAACTCCTACTATGCCGCTAAGTTTCTGCATCAGTTCAGGCAGCGGTGGTCGGTTGCACTTCAGAGAGCACAATCAGTGGGGTTGCTCATGAAGCTGGGTGAGGCGGCAGCCGCTGAGAACCCCCCGGTGGGGGGTATCGGCCATGAACTACACCTAGGGGATTGCTTTGCTGTTTTGGAGCCACTTGTGGAACTGTAGATGGGATAGGCTGTGACTTGCATGCTTACCGAACCTGTATGTGTGTACCTTTCGGCCATATCAATATACGGACCATTAGAGAGAGAGAGAGAGAGAGAGAGAGAGAGAGAGAGAGAGAGAGAGAGAGAGAGAGAGAGAGAGAGAGAGAGAGAGAGAGAGGCACCTAGTGACTTAGCCTCTCAAGCCTCCCCTAGCCTCCCTTGCCTCCCTAGTCCTAGTATAAAGGCCTCAGCAGGCCTTGTGGCCTCTTCATTATTCAGTTTTTGGTTGGGTTTCTCTCCTAACCGAGCGGCTCGCGCCGGCCGCCTTCGGCGGCCGACGCTCGACAGCGCGGCCTTCGGCCGCGCGCTTGGGACGGCAAGTGTCAACACACACAACCGGCTATAATCAGGGGCATACACGCAATGACGGTTTCATCTGCCTAAGAAGCACACGAAATGGAGCAGGAGGGGGAGGGCTCTAGAACTGATCAGCATCAAGAACAGCAAGGAGCCCAGTCAGAGAGCGGTGGAGCTCCCGCACCACCGCCGTGCTTGCGCCGATCACATCGGCTGCAGTCCCAGCGCGCAAAAAGCGCCGCAGGCCTCGTACAGCTGTCCCCAGCTGCCCAACGCCCGCAACTCCTCCCCTCGCGGGCGCAGCCAACACGGGCGCCAGGAGCTCCGCGAGCCGATCCGCGGCTTCAAGACACTCGTCCCGGGAACCGCCAACCAGAGTGTTCCCAAGGGAGAGACCCGCATGACCGTACATCTGGATTAGATGAACAACCCGCAAACCCTCAGAGAGGCGCCATAGCTGCCCAAGGGTCGCCTCCGGAACCTCTGCCGCGCGGGAAGAACCTGCAAACGTCTGGAACGACTGTGCACCAGCAGCACGGGAAGCAGAGTCACAGGGCAGAAGGGACGGATAAGGAGCAGGGGGAGCAGCAGGACATAGTGGAGCAACTGCCGCTGGTGCAGTCACAGGAGGTACAACAGGAGGAGGAGCGGCAGTTGCACGAGGGAACTGCTGGTTTGCCTGCAGGGCCATCTCCTCGCGCATCGCAGCCGTTACAACCCGCTGCAAGTCCGCCATCATCACCGGCCCATCAAACGCGCCGCCACGCCCACGACCGTAACCTCCCCTCCAGCCCCCACGCCCACCCCGTCGCGCGTGCCAGTTCCCGCCCGATGAGCGGCGCTGAGGAGACTCCTGTCGACGTCGCGAGGACTCCCGCTCATCGCGTGGGGAGGGCGAATGGGGCCGTGATGGGCGGCGATCGGGAGACTGCGGACGACACGGCTGCCCAGACGGAACCAACGGAGGCGCAACAGGCGGCGACTGAACAGCCTCGGCAGGCACCACCGCCGGGGCCGGGCCGCCAGTGGTGGCGGACACCGCCGCTAGCGCCAAGTCGCCGCCAAGAGCAGCAGGGGCAGCGGCGATCACAGGGGCGGCAATGACAGGGGCAACTGGTGGCACAACAACCACAGCCGGTGCCACTTGCTCAGGCTCCGGGCGAACGGGAGCAAGAGGAACAACAGCAGGAGCAGGGAGTGCAGGAGGGTCAGGAACAGCCTGCGCCGCCTCACCCGACACGAGGTCCGGAGTCGGACTCGCAGAGAGAACGGCGATAGAGGGCGCTGGCTTCGGGGCAGGCGGGACTGGCGGCTTCATTGCAGCACTCCCCGAGGCAGACACCGGCGGCGACTTTCCGCTCGCCATTGACGCAGAGGCAGCGGGCTTTGGCAATGGCCACGACTCGCCAGCAATCACCATCGCGAGGAGGGAGGAGACAAGGAGCAGGACGTCGGGTAGGGCGGAGAGTGGAAGGCGGACCGGAGAATGCGTTCCAGGCGGCGGCACGTAGGGCTTTAATACGGCTAGACGAGAATGATGATCCGGAGGAGCAAAACGACCCTTCTTATAGGGAGGAGGAACAAGCCCCGGCCAGCAGCAGCGAGGAGGAGAACGAGGAGGAGAGAGAGCACTTGACGAGAGGAAGCAGGGGAAGCCGTAGAGGAACGACAGTACAGTCTGGAAACACACGGGGGCCACATGATGCCGATCGAACAGCCACGATTCCAACCCCGCCTACTACTAGTGCTACGGGTCGCGGACATGGAAATCGGGCCGCGAGGGGTCAGGCGGGGGCGACTTGCCAGCCTCAAAACCCCCGCTATTTTTCGCCAGAGGAACTGGCGAGGCAAGCTGACAAAATTGCCGAAGTGGCAGAATGGGACATTTTGCCTCTCTGCGATAGTCGCCAACCCACGCTGTTACGACGGCTACCGCCAAACTTGTGCGAGATCTTTTCGCTCGCAGTGCTGACACCACTTCTGCACCTCTCACGAAACCCAGACTCCATCGCGGGATGGAAGTTACTCCTTTTTCTCCCCCGCTTGACACTACGTCAGGGCTCGCCGAAACGACCTGATTGGCCGAAAATCAAAGCCAGACTCCGTGCATTTCAACGAGGCGAGTGGCAGCAGCTGTATCTGGACGCAGTCGAAGCAGTCAACACACCACCCCCGCCACGTCATCGGCCTGACGACGTGGGTACCATCAGCAGAGCTGAGGGCCTGGCAAAGAAAGGGAGCCTGCACCGAGCAGTGTTGGCGCTCGAGTCAACACCAGTCTGTACGCCCTGCCCAGAGATTCTGGATGAACTCCGCCGAAAGCACCCCGCAGCCGACCCTGACCCACTGACCTGGCCAGCCATCACTGAACCTCCCAGCCTCGAAATATCCCACGCGGATTTTTCGAAGATGCTCAGCCGATGCGAGAACGGAGTTGGGGCCGGCCCAAGCGGAATGACATTTGAACACCTTCGCGATTCGTCAGTAACAAACGCAGCCGTCTCCACCCATCTCCACCCATCAACACGATTATGAGGGGGAAGTTGCCACAGCCAGTCGCGGAACTGCTCACGTCGTCATGACTGATAGCCCTGGCCAAGCCAGAGGGTGGGGCCCGCAAAATAGCGATTGGAGAATGCCTGACTCGCCTGACTGCAAAAGCTGCGCTGGCAGCCTTGGGCGAAGCGGCACGGGGTTACTTTCTCCCCCTCCAGTACGGTGTGGCTATGCCAGGGGGGGCGGAGGCAATCATTCACAGCGCACGGGCATACACGGACGCACACCCCAACTGCCTTATCCTACAGACAGACATTTCTAACGCCTTCAACAGCATATCGAGGCAAGCCATAGCCACTGCCTTACAAGATCCGGCTCTCTCACCATTACAGCCTCTAGTTAAACTGACATACGGCCACCCATCATCCCTGTTCCTAGACGCCAGCTTCAGTAGCGCACCACTAAGGAGTGAACGTGGGGTTCGACAAGGGGATCCCTTGGGGCCGCTTCTATTCGCAGCTGGGATCCACCCCGCATTAAGAGCGACAGCTACTGCACACCCCGGCGTACTGTGCCTGGCATACGCCGACGACGTCAGCTTCCTAGGCGACCACCGTGAAACCGTAGCTGCCTTTTCCTATTTCACGAGCCAATTGTCCCAAGTAGGCCTACGACACAACCCAGGGAAATGTGTCGCGTGGAGCAACCGGCCGATAGACGAGGCAGTGCAGCTGCCGCCCGGGGTGCCAACCAGTATTGACGGCGTTAGGCTTCTCGGTAGCTTCCTAGGAACACCTGAAGGCGCCGCCTCCTTCCTAACCGCACAGCTACAGGCTATGTCCACTCCGCTACCTCTGATAGAACGAATGGACCCTCAGGTTGCATCTCTCCTACTTACCCGCTGCATCTCACGCAGGGTAGCTTATCTCACACGAACGACTCCACTACATCTTCTAGACAGTGACACCTGGTCATAGTGGGGTAGGGACTTGCTGGCCACCCTCCTTACAACGTGCGGCATACGCGTACCGACGGACGACACGGAACAGACTCGGGTCTGGGAGCAGTCGTCACTCCCACCGTCACTAGGGGGTATCGGAATCACAGACCCAACAGTGGAGGGAACTTTCGGCTTCCTAGCAAGTTTTACACAAGCCGCACTGCTACTTAGTTCCCTGCCGCTGGAGTCAGAGGTGGCCTTGACGGAAGTTAGAAATCACATGCGAGTACCACGAGATTTCAACACCGCCCTACACCGCTGGCTGTCCGAATGTGAGAGAGCACTGCCGCAGGAGGCCAGAGACATCCTAGACAAGGAAAGGCTCGAGAAAACCGACCTAAAGCTGCAGCATGAGCTCGGGGTGAGAGTGCAGGGAAGCAGATATGCCGCGCAAGTCCAGGCAACACGGCTTATGAGGCTGAATCCCTTGTCAGGACATACCCAACGGTTTTTCTCTCTAACGGGCTACGGCACGGGGGACTGGTTGACAGCAATCCCAATAGAGCAAACCCACCGCGTAGGTCCAGAACACTTCGCCAATGCCGTCCGCTTCAGACTTGGGCTCCCCTTCTCTACTCCCAAACACTGTGACTGCTCTAAGCGTGTGGAGATCAAGGACCCACGGCTGCCAAACCACTTATTCCGCTGCGGGACCGGCAAGCACAGAATCAACACCCACAACGAGTTGCGGGACGCTTGTATTACTATGGCGGAAGATGCCGGCTTCATAGTTCACAGGGAATCAGCTGCGTACTGCCCTATTGAAGAACAGACCGCTGACTTCACCATGCGGGATAGGAGCTCGGGGGCAGTATACGCCTGTGATGTCACCATCACAGATCCCATTAGCACTCGGGATCCCAATGCTACAAAGGGGAGGGGATGGGCAGCAAGAGAGCAAGCTGACAAGAAAATCAGCCACTATGCAAATCGGCCTGACACGGTCGGCTTCTTCCCCCTTGCAGTTGAGACATACGGCTGCCCATGCGCGGAAGTCCCACAATTTCTGAAGTTACTGGCGGATACAGCTGCTAGGCGTCATTTCAACGCCCAACCCACCTCCCATCACGCGAGGAGGTTCTTACACCTCTTCAGGCAGCGCTGGTCCGTGGCTCTGCAAAGAGCACAGTCGGTGGGATACTTAATCAAGTCCTCGCAGGCGGCCGTAGCTGAAAATCCCCCTGTAGGGGGGGTGCAGTCCGAGATCCACCTTGGGGACTGCTGTGCTGTGCTGGAACCTCTCATGGAGGTGTAGAGACGTAGTTGTTTGTTAAGTGTTAGTTGTTTGCTTGTTTTCCAAACCATTCTAGCAATAGCTATGCATGAATGTACCCTTTTGCTATATCAATACACGGACCATTAGAGAGAGAGAGAGAGAGAGAGAGAGAGAGAGAGAGAGGGAGAGAGAGAGAGAGAGAGAGAGAGAGAGAGAGAGAGAGAGAGAGACCTACGGCTGCCCTTGTGCTGAGGTCCCTGTGTTCCTGAAACTCCTTGCAGACACGGCGGCTCGGCGATACTTCAACGCCAACTCCAAATCCTTTCATGCCGCGAAGTTCCTGCACCAGTTCAGGCAGAGGTGGTCGGTTGCACTGCAGAGGGCCCAATCGGTGGGTCTCATGATCAAATTAGGAGAGGCGGCTACTGCAGAGAACCCGCCTGTAGGGGGGATAGGGCAAGATTTATACCTGGTATATACCCGCCTAGTATATAAGGCCTTTGGGCCTGGTGTGTTCCTCATTATTCATCTGCGAGTCCATTCCTTCTAACCCAGCAGAGAGAGAGCGAGAGAGAGAGAGAGAGAGAGAGAGAGAGAGAGAGAGAGAGAGAGAGAGAGAGAGAGAGAGAGAGAGAGAGAGAGAGAAGCAGACTTCACCATGACCGACAGAAGCAGCGGGGCGGTTTATGTGTGTGACGTGACGGTCACGGATCCCATTAGCACGAGGGATCCTATGGCAGAGAAGGGCAGGGGCTGGGCGGCTCGGGAGCAGGCGGATAAGAAAATCAAACACTATGCCAATCGGCCAGAGACAGTGGGTTTCTTCCCACTTGCGGTGGACACCTATGGCTGCCCGTGCGCGGAAGTCCCGGTCTTCCTGAAGCTCCTCGCAGATACAGCGGCTCGGCGGCACTTCAACGCCGACTCTAAATCCTTTTATGCCGCCAAGTTTCTGCACTTATTCCGGCAGCGCTGGTCAGTGGCCCTTCAGAGAGCCCAATCGGTGGGTCTCCTTCTCAAGCTGGGCGAGGCGGCGGTAGCAGAGAACCCGCCTGTAGGAGGAATCGGTCAGGAACTTCACCCGGGGGATTGCTTTGCGGTGGTTGAGCCCTACCTTGAGCTCTAGAGACAGTAGTTGGAAGGATGTGTTGTGTTGCAAGCTTTGTTCCTTGTGTTACAAGGACCATTAGGCGTACCTGCTGAAGACGGCGGTCACGCGGCTCGACCATGCGTGGAGCCCGGCCCCACCTGAGGTCAACCAGCTAGCCCCACTGGAGGCAGCACTCCCGGCGTCAGCACGCTCCACACTACAGGCGTTCAGGGAGCAGCTAGCAGGACAGGGCAACCTTCAGCTACTACTCTCCCGCCACATCTATGAGAGACGGGCAGCGGAACTACTGGCTGACACGATCAAAGACCGCCCAGGCGCACACCGCGGGCACGCCATCCGCCTCATCAGCCTACAGGGGGTGGGGGCAGGGGACTGGCTGCATGCCGTGCCTACGAGAGCTGACCTTACATTTGCCCCTGGTCAGTTCTCCTTGGCGCTGGGGTTCCGCTTAGGCATGTCCCTGCCGGTCACTGAGAAGTGTCCCTGCAAGAGAGAATATTCTGACATCAACGACCCGAGTCTGCCGAACCATCTCCTTAGGTGCGGGTACGGGGGCGACGTCGTTAGAACGCACAACGCGCTAGTGTTTGCAGCACTCAGGATGGCAAGGGAAGCGGACTTCACGTGCTTCCACGAGACATCGGCTTTTTCCCCACCGATCCTCAGGAAGAGGGGAGATCTGGCGATTCGAGACAGGGAATCAAACGAGACCTGGGTTACAGACGTGACAGTGACTGACCCTGTGCTCCAGCAGCGCGACACCAGGGCACGGAAGCCACCAGGATGGGCGGCTGAGGAGGCCTCAGCTAGGAAGCACAGGGAATACGAGGATCGGCCAGACTACGTCGGCTTCTTTGGCCTCGCAGTTGAGACGTATGGGGCCCTGTCCTCGGACACACAGGAGTTCCTACGGCTACTGGCCACCGCAGCGGCTAAGAAGAAGTACCGCTAGGGGAAGTTGACAACCACGACTGCACGACTCACTGCACACTACCGGCAGCGCTGGTCTGTGATGCTGCAGCGATCCCAGGCAACGTCCTACCTGAACAAGTCAAACCTATCTGATGAAGCAGCGTTCCCCCAGGCTGCTAGGGACCCTTGGGAACCTAGCCTGGGGGACCTCTGGCAAGTGCTGGAGGATGAGCTGGAGGTTGTTATGGCTCAGTAGGCGGGAGTAGGTGTGGGCGAGTGATGTAGCCATGGCTTGTCGGCTGCATGTCTGGCCTGAATGACCAGCTTGCCTCGACTGCTGGCCGTGCTTGGCATTGCCCTGCAGTGCCCTGCTTTGCTGGTTTGCTGGTTGCTTTGTCGGCCTGGCTTGCCTCACTTGACCGGCTTGTCTGTGTGCAGATGTCCTGCTCGTATCACGCTCCTGCCATGCATGATGAGTAGCCCCAAATGCCTAGGCCTGCCTAGCTCTATTCCTGCCATGCCTGTACCCCTATGAACCTATCAATGAAGGGCTGCTTGAGAGAGAGAGAGAGGCATAGTCCCTTAGCCCCAAGCCTCTCAGCCTCCCACACGCCTAGTATATAAGGCCTTTGGGCCTGGTGTGTTCCTTCGGCGGCCGACGCTCGACAGCGCGGCCTTCGGCCGCGCGTGAGGGGACGGCAAGGGAGAAAAGCACAAGCAACTATAACTCAAGACACACACGCGATGGCTACACCTACACCTGCCTAGGAAACACACGGGTACAACATGACGCAGGAAAAGGCGGACGCTACATCTGATCTGCGTCAAGGACGGCGAGAAGACCCGTCAGCGAGCGATGAAGCTCGTGCACCCACCACAGTGGTTGCGCCGATCAGGTCGAATGCAGTCGCTGCGCGCATCACCCGGCGCAGACCACGGAGCGCAGTCCCAAGCTGTCCAACGCCCGCAACTCCACCCCGCGCGGGCGCAGCCAACACGGGCGCAAGGAGCTCGGCAAGCCGGTCAGCGGCATCCGAGCACTCCTCCAGAGGGCCGCCTACCAGAGGCACGCCACGAGAAAGAGCCGCGTGGCAATACACATGGATCAGGTGAACAGCCCTCCGACCCTCGGAGAGGCGCCACAGCTGCCCGAGTGACGCCTCGGGCACATCCGCCGAAGGAGAAGGCCCTACCAGCGACTGTACCGGAAGATCAGCAGCCGGATGATCAGGAGCAACAGGCAGCAGGGACGGATACTGCGGCGTCACTGGTCCCCCGCCCACAGTTACAAACTCCACGCCCGCCACAGGAGGAACCCACGGCAGCCGGAGACGGTTCCCTTGAGCAGCAGCGGACGCGGCGGGAGCACGAAGAGGAGGAGCGGCAGTCGAGGGAAGAGGAGGAGCGGGCGCAGGCGGAGGATGAGACACCGGCGCAGGAGCGTGGCGCGGCGAATTGCTCAGGCTCGCCTGCCCGTTCCGCTCCTCGCGCATCGCGTCAGACACAACTCGCTGCAAGTCGGCCATTGTCACCGGCTGATCATAGACCCAGCCGCCACTGCGACCACGCCCTCCCCACCAGCCCCCTCGGCCGCCACGGGGTGCAGCCCAATTCGTCTGCGAACCTCGGCGGCGAGGTGAATCGTGACGCCGCCGTGACGTCTCCCGCTCGTCACGCGGTACAGGGGAATGAGGCCGTTGCTGACGACGGCCCGGGGACGGAGGACGTTGAGCAGGAGGGCCAGGAGCAAGAGGTGCGGGAGCAGGACCCGCCGGGGCGGTCGGAGGCGGCACGGTTGCTGCCGCAGGCACAGGGGCAGGAGCAATCGGAGGCGATGCGCGAGCCGATTAAACCTCCGCCGAGCTCAGGCCGGCGCTGGTGGCTGGAGGTGGCTGGTAAGTCGGGTCTGCACCAGCAGTAGCAGAAGGCGCCACGGCAGACGCAACCAGTGGCGGCACAGAGGCCTCTCCATCGGCAGCAGACGACCCCGCAACCATAGGCACGGGGACAGGTGGAACCACCGGCGCAGGCGCGGGAGAGTGCGCAGGATCAGACGCCGCAACAAACCCAGGGGCGGGCGCAGGAGCAGATGCCGAGGCGAGCGCGGGAGCAGGTGACGACACAGGCGCATGACCAGGCGCCACGCCAGGCGCAGACAACGTCGCCACGGCGGGAACAGGCGGCGCAGCAGGCGCGAGGACAAGGCCAACCTGAGTCACCGATGACGGCGCAGATCGAGGGGCGAAAAGAGGCGACATCCCCACAGCCGCGGACGCCGGGGACGACAAGGCAGGAGGGGCAATTGCAGCCGACGCCATGACAACGGGCCGCGGCGAGTACGAATAATATTCGTCACCAATCGATACAGGCATCGCGGGGCGGACGAGGCGGCGGACGAGGAGGAGCGACTGGAAGGGGAGGCGGACCTGAGAATGGCTTCCAGAGGGAAGCACGCCGGGCCTTAACTCGAAGAGTGGAGAACAACGAAGCTGAGGAGGAGGCTAGAGACCCTACGTTTACAACAGAGTTGGTGGAGGAGTCCGCCACGGAAGAATCGGGGGAGTTAGAGGAGGAGGAACGGGAAGGCAGGCGACGGGCAATCCCAACACCACGCCGAGCCGCTCCAATTCCAGCAGCAAGGGGTGTCGAATTGAACCGGCCGGTACCGGACGCCACCGCATCAGAGGCCCGCCAATTCTCGCCTGAACAATTGGCCAAGGACTTGGTGCGGTTCGGCGAAGTGGAATCATGGGACCTGACCCCTCTACGCGACAGTCGTCAGCCCCCGCTTTCGCGTAAACTCCCTGCTGACATTCGCCCACTTTTCGCCACAGCCCTCCTGACACCCCTCCTTCACCTCGCGCGTAACCCTGCGTCAGTCGCAGGCTGGCGCCTGTTACTCTTTCTCCCACGCCTCACCCTTCGCCTCCCGTCAACGGAGAAGCCCGATTGGCCGGCAGTCAAGCGCCGACTTCGCCAGTTTAACAAAGGCGAATGGCAGCAGCTCTACGACTCGGCAATTACCGCAATCACTGGACCACACCCGCCTCGTCATACGCCAGATGCCCTTGGCAAACGTGCCAGGGCAGAAGGCCTCGCACGAAAAGGAAGCCTTCGCAGGGCGATCCTCGCCCTTGAGTCAACGCCGGTCGCCGACCCATCTGCACCCATCCTCGCCGCTCTCAAAGCAAAACACCCCCCCGCGCCACCAGATATCATCGATTGGAACATCCCCGATACCGTTCAAGCGGCGTCGATTGAAAGAGGGGACTTCATTAAAATGCTGTGCCGTTGTGAGAACGGGGTAGGAGGAGGACCGTCGGGTATGACATTCGAACACCTGCGTGATGCATCACTCGCCAACGCGGGGGTTACTACACACTTCCACGCCCTCGTCAACACTATCCTGCTTGGCAAACTGCCTGACGAGGTCTGCGCGCTACTAACAGCCAGCCGCCTCATAGCTCTAGCTGAGCCTGACGGAGGCACTAGACCGATCGCGGTAGGAGAATGCATACTGCGACTGGCCGCCAAGTCCGCTCTCTCGTCCCTCTCGAAAGAGTGCCGCGCGCATTTCCTGCTGTTGCAATACTGCGTGGCTGTACAAGGCGGTAGCGAAGCAATGATTCACGCTGCGCGAGCATTTACGTGTGCTAATCCAGACGCGCTTATACTACAGGCAAACCTGGCGAACGCATTTAACTCCATCAATCGCGGAGCAGTAGTCAGCGCTCTTCGCGACACCGATATCCAGGGTCTTCTCCCCCTCGTTAAAGCATCATATAGCCGGCCGGCCCAGCTATTCCTTGACGCAGGGTTTGGCTGCGAGGCACTAACTAGCGAGACAGGCGTGCGACAAGGCGATCTGCTTGGCCCGCTGCTGTTTGCCGCGGGGATCCACCCCATCCTCTCAAAGACAGCCGCCGCTTATCCATCAGTTCTCTGCATAGCATTCGCCGACGACATCACCTTCCTGGGCCCCGCAGCCGAGTGTTCCGACGCTTTCTGCCACTTCACGACAGGACTACGCGACGTGGGGCTGACTCACAACCCTGAGAAGTGCGCCGCATGGAGCGCAGCGGCCACAGATCCCCAGCATCTGCCCCAGGGGGTCCCACTTCGCACGGAGGGGCTGAGGGTGCTAGGAAGCTTCGTCGGTACCACAGAAGGAGCAGCAGCCTTTCTAAGGTCACAGCTAGAGACAATGTCGTCCCCGCTACCCCACATAACGAGCATGGACCCACAAGTGGCGGCGCTGCTACTAACACGGTGCATCTACAGGCGCATCTCGTACCTTGCCCACACCACCCCCTTGTACCTGCTTCCCGAAGCCGAGTGGTCAAGTTGGGGCCGAGCCCTGCTGTACACGCTTCTAGATGCCTGCGGGGTGCGCCACCCGAGGGGCGAGACAGAGGACAAGCGGATCTGGGACCAAGCCTCACTCCCACCTAGCTTAGGCGGCCTGGGCCTCGCCGACCCTGCAGTAGAAGGCAGATTGCGAGTTTCGTGCAGGCCAACACACTCCTCGGCCAGCTAGGAGGCCAAGCTGGAGCCTCCCTGACAGCAGCACTAGACATCCCAGTAGCGGCGGACCACAGCCCCAACGAGATCCAGCGGTGGATCCAGGATTGCAGGAGCAGCCTCACGCAGGAGGCGCAGGACCTTATTGCAGCGGAACAGGCAAAACCAAAGGGCCAACTGCAGCACCGCCTCGCTCTCTTAGTCCAAGGAGGCCAGAGTGCTGCCCAGATCACCGCGTCCAGGCAGATGGACCTGAACCCACGGATGGGCCACACCCAACGGCTCATGTCCCTCACGGGCTACGGGGCAGGGGACTGGCTCATGGCGATCCCCTACATGCCAGTGCTCCGGTTATACCCCTGCCACTTCACGTTCGCCCTACAGTTCCGGCTCGGCATGCCGCTCTCGGTGCCTGACTGCTGTGACTGCAGCAAACGAGTCACCATTCCAGATAAAAGGCTGCCGAACCACTTGCTGCGGTGCAGTACTGGCCACGGCAGGACCAACACGCACGATGAGCTACGGGACGAGTGCATTCGTATGGCGCAGGATGCTGGATTTGAAGTGCACAAGAAGTGCACCGCCTTCAGCCCGGTCGATAACAAGAAGGCCGACCTGGCCTTCAGGGATGGGAGCTCGGGGGCGGTGTGGCTGGGAGATATCACAATCACAGATTCCATCAGTAAACGGGACGAAACTGCAAGGAAGGGGAGGGGCTGGGCAGCACGGGAGGCAACTGAAAAAAAGATAGGCCTATATCTCGGCAGGGCAGAGTATGCGGGGTTTGTCCCGTTGGCAGTAGAAACATACGGCTGCCCCTGTGACGAGGTGCCCACCTTCCTGAAGCTGCTGGCGGACAAAGCTGCACGGAGGATCTTCAACGCGGACCCATCTACCTATCAGGCCGCGAAGATGGTCCATCAGTTCCGCCAGCGCTGGTCGGTTCCAAGCTGCCCAACGCCCGCAACTACACCCCGGGCGGGCGCAGCCAGCACGGGCGCCAGGAGTTCGGCGACTCGATCCGCCGCATCGAGGCACTCGTCCCGAGGGCCTCCATCCAGGGAATTCCCCTGGAACAGAGCAGCATGACCGTACACCTGGATCAGGTGAACGGCACGAAGGGCCTCGCATAGACGCCACAACTGCGCCAGGCTCGCTTCCGGGACCTCAGCCATGCGGGGAGGCCCAGGCAAGGTCGGGAGGATCGGAGCATCAAGAGCAGATGGGGGAGCGGGATCAGCAGGCAGCAGAGGCGGGTACTGTGCCGTCACCGCTCCTCCTGCCGCAGTCACAAATTCCTGTCCTGCCACTGGAGGAACCCACGGCAGTCGCAAGCAGCGATCACGTGCGGCAGCAGATGCGGCGGGGACTGAGGGAGTCGGAGCAGGGACAAGGGGAGCCGGGGCAACAGCCAGAGGTGGCGGGGCCACAGCCACCGGACGAGCGGCCGGAGGGGGAGCCGCTGGAGCAGGAACAAGGCGCTGCATTGCCCTCTCCTCGCGTATCGCAGCCGAGACAACACGCTGCACGACTCCAAGAGATACCGGCGGAACATACGCCGCGCCGCCGCCATAACCGCGACCTCCCGCCCACCCCCCACGACCGCCACGTTGCGCATGCCAGTTCGCCTGCGAACAGTTGCGCCGTGGAGAATCACGACGGCGCCGCGACGACTCCCGCTCCTCACGAGGCGTAGGAGAATGCGGGCGGGAGGAGCACTGGCCAACCTGCTGACCAACAGGTGCAGCAACAGGAGCCGCCTGGACGGCGCCCGCCGGCGCTACAAACGGGCCCGGGCCACCAGTGGTGGCGGACACCGCCATCGGCGACGAACCAACAGCCGCGTCGAGGGCAACAGGGACATCAACGGCAGGCGATGCCGCAGAGAGCTCAGGCACGGGTGGTGCAACGCCAGGATCGACAACAGCAGACGGCGCCGCAGGATTTACAGGGACAGCCGGCAGAGCAGGAGCGGAGAGCGCAAGAGGGCCCGGCTCAACAACAGGGGCAGCCGGGGCAGGGAGGAGTGATGCCGGAACCTCACTCGCCACGAGGTCCAGAGTCGGACTCGCGGAGACTCCAGCGACAGAGGGAGATGGCTTCGGGGCAGGGGGGATTGGCGGCTTCATTGCAGCACCCCCCAAGGCAGACACCGGGGGCGACCTTCCGCTCGCCCCTGACGCAGAGGCAGCGGGCTTTGGCGATGGCCACGAGTCACCAGCAATCACCATCGCGAGGCGGAAGGAGACAAGGGGCAGGACGCCGTGGAGGACGGGGAGTCGAGGGTGGACCGGAGAACGCGTTTCACGCGGCGGCACGGAGGGCTTTAACACGGCTCGATGAGAACACTGATCCGGATGAACGGAATGACCCCTCTTATAGGGAGGAAGCACAAGCCCTGAGCAGCAGTAGCGAGGAGGAAGACGGGGAGGAGATAGAGCAATTGTCAAGACGAGGTGCAGAAAGCCGGAGAGGACCGCCTCTGCAATCAGGAACCACGCTGGGACCGCAGGATGCCGATCGGACGGCCACAATTTCAACCCCGCCTTCAACTCGTGGTACGGGCCGCGGTCGTGGAAATCGGACTGCGAGGGGTCAAGCGAGTGCGGCTCGCCAGACTCAAATTCCGCGCTACTTTTTGCCAGAGGAGCTGGGGAGGCAGGCTGACAAATTTGCCGAAGTGGCAGATTGGGATATCTCGCTACTCTGCGATAGTCGCCAACCCACGCTGTTACGTCGGCTACCGCCAAATTTGTGCGAGATATTCTCGCTCGTGGTACTGACACCTCTTCTTCACCTTTCGCTAAGCCCTGACTCCATCGCGGAATGGAAGTTACTCCTATTTCTCCCTCGCCTGACACTGTGACAAGCATCGCCAAGACGCCCTGATTGGCCCAAAATCAAGGCCCGCCTCCGAGCATTTCAACGTGGCGAGTGGCAACAACTGTACTTGGACGCGGTGGAAGCAGTCAACACGCCACCCCCGCCACGTCATCAGCCAGACGACGTGGGAACGATCAGCAGGGCAGAGGGTCTGGCGAAAAAGGGGAGCCTGCGCCGAGCCGTGATGGCGCTCGAGTCAACGCCAGTCTGTATTCCCAGTCCAGAAATCCTGGACGAACTCCGAAACAAGCACCCACCAGCCGACCCTAACCCTCTGACCTGGCCGGTCGACACAGACACTGTCGACCTGGAGATTTCTTACGCGGATTTTTCGAAGCTGCTCAGCCGATGCGAGAATGCCTCATTACCATTACCATTAGCATTAGCATTTGAACATTTGCGCGATGCGTCAGTGACTAACGCATCCGTCTCGACCCATCTGCACGCCCTGGTTAATACGATTCTGAGAGGAAATCTGCCACGTCAAGTCGCGGAACTACTCACATCCTCTCGCCTGATTGCCTTAGCCAAACCTGAAGGGGGGGCTCGCCCAATAGCAATTGGCGAATGCTTGACGCGCCTGGCGGCAAAGGCCGCACTGACAACCCTGGGCGAGGCAGCGCGCGGCTATTTCCTTTCGCTGCAGTGCGGAGTAGCGGTGCCAGGGGGGGCAGAGGCGATCATACACAGTGCACGAGCATACACCGACAATCACCCCAACTGCCTCATCCTCCAGACTGACATTTCCAACGCCTTCAACAACATCTCCCGACAAGCAATAGCGACAGCACTCGAGGACCCCGCCCTTTCACTGCTACTGCCCTTAGTGAAATTGACCTACGGCAACCCATCTCTGCTGTTTCTGGATGCCAACTTCAACAGCCCGGCATTACTCAGTGAGCGAGGGGTCAGGCAGGGTGATCCCTTAGGACCACTTCTTTTCGCGGCAGGGATCCATCCTGCCTTGAGAGCAACTGCAACATTGCACCCCGGGGTGCTGTGCCTAGCCTACGCCGATGACGTAAGCTTCTTAGGTGACCCACGTGAAGCCGTCGCAGCCTTCTCTCACTTCACTAGCCAGCTGGCCCAAGTGGGTTTGCGACACAGTCCCGGGAAATGCGCCGCGTGGAGCAGCATGCCGATTGACAGTACAGTGCAGCTGCCGCCAGAGGTACCGACCAGTGAAGCGGGCGTTAAACTTCTAGGCAGCTTCCTAGGTACATCCGACGGCGCCGCCGCGTTCCTAGCCGCCCAGCTAGAAGCCATGACCAAGCCGTTGCCTTTGATCGAACGACTTGACCCTCAGATAGCATCCCTGTTTCTCACACGCTGCATCTCTCGTCGAGTTGGATACCTCACTAGAACAACCCCACTACACCTCCTCAACCACGACACCTGGTCACAGTGGGGTAGGGACCTCCTGTCCACACTCCTTACGGCATGAGGCATCCGTTTTCCTACAGACAGCACAGAGCAGAGCCGTGTTTGGGAGCAATCTACACTTCCACCTTCGTTGGGTGGCATCAGACTCACTGACCCTACGGTGGAAGGGCGGTTTGGCTACTTGGCTAGTTTCACACAGTCCAGCCTCCTCCTCAGCTCCCTACCGCTAGAATCAGAGGAGGCCTTGATAGCAGCCAGAGATCACATGCTTCTGCCCCGGGATACCACAACTTCCTTACACCTCTGGCTGTC